ATAATGCTGTAATGTAAAGTTTGTAACTCAAAATTTTCTATATAGTAAAATTTTGTATTACAAACTTTATATTATAGTATCATGTAATCTTAAAATTTGCAAAATTTTTAAATTTAGAGGTCAAGTATTTAATTTTTAATTAAATTTTTATTTTTTTAAAATGTGCTCATATAACAGAAGGGAATATCGATATTACATGACTGATCCTTCATCCAGTGTGCAATATATAAAAAATTATTTTACAATACCAGATCATCCTGCTAGTACATGTTATGATTATAATCTAACATATTTAATTATAATAAAAATAGTGTTGGATTATAATTATAACATGTACTAGCGGAATGATCTGGTATTGTAAAATAATTTTTTTATATATTGTATATAGGGTGAAAGATTAGTAGTATAATATTAACGTTCTCTCCTAATTAATAGAAATATAATGATAAAGATAAGTTCTTTTTTTTTATTTATTGTTTGTTGTTCTTTATTATTGATTAATTTTTTTTTTATATGTAGGATATACAAGGTTACTTGATGTCTTTGCTTTTTGGCATCGTTGCTTGCTAGTGTTACTATACTCAGTATCATCGTTCGTAAGTATCGTCGCATTATTTAGTGGTATCTTTGTTTGTTGTTACCCAGTAGCGTCTTTGCAAGTTGGTCTGTAATGTTACTCTACCTGCCTGTTATTACCTTTGTTTGTTATTATTTAATTGTGCTGGTTTATCAGTATCATCGATTGTGGTGTCTAACAGTAAAGTGCGAAATGTTCAATTTGTCGTTTAACTTCTTGTGTACAGCTTTATGGTATCTTGTTAGATACAAGTATTTTCTGGTTAATATAGTTATTATCGTTATAATGTGAATTACTATGAGGATGGGTAACGAAAACAGAAGATAATCATATAGTTCTAAATATGTAATCAGTAATGTATTTAAGGAGCCTTTGCTTAGTAGAAGAGATTATCTTTCTTTTCGCTATCGCTTGCTTTGAAGTTAAGGCTAGCTCTATCGTCCTACCCTCTTGCCTATTTGTTAGTACTTAGGTTTTGTGGCTATCACTAGCAGATTAAGGACTTCATATTGGTAGCTATTATAAGTAGCGCAAAAACCTCCCATTTAGTATATGGGTTCTGTACTTACTATAAACAGTGTAAGGGTCTCGTGTTTGATATTTAAGGCTTTATGACTGCTATAGACCTTGTGTTTGTATTTAGGCTTCATAGCTGTGGTAGGCAGTACATGAACATTGCATTTTGGTGACTAGACCCCACAGTTGCTGTAGGCAGTGCAAGAACCTATGTCTTAGTAACATTCATGCCATCAATATCTTTATAGCTATATAATTCTTTCTCAGCTACGATATGTTTATATGTAGTTATAGGTATGCAATAAGTTGTAAGATTGTTTGGGATGAAATATTTCTTTAAAGATATAGACATTTAAGTTTAAGCATATTTGGTATAGAGTCTGTAAAACCTGTAAATGATAGTGGACAGATTCTCATATGTTTTTCCTTGTCTAAATAAAGTTATCTGAATGAGCATTAATAATAATAAGTATTTAAACTATAGGATAATAAGCTTTAATACGTCTTTTTTTAGTATTATTTAAAAAAAAATTTTTAATTATAAAAAAAAAAGCCATACGTCTGCATCACTAATCACTGACCCATAATATGAAAACCAAGTATATAATTTTGTGCAGCCTAATATATATATATACTGTATATATATAATTCATTGAACTTGAACCTGTTCATAAACTTTTAAACTAAATCTGAACTGAACCTGAACTTGACTTAAAAGTTCAATATTGAACCTGAACTGAACTTTTTTTAAAAAAAGTTCAAGTTCAAGTTCAGTTCAATTTTGAACTGAACTTGAATTTGGCTAAAAGTTCAGTTCAGTTCAGTTCATAGAAATACTAGTAATCGTCTATACAAAACAAATAGAGATCTGCAAGCGTAAACATGTTATTCCATTTTTACCTTCCTATATACATTGAATTGGAATGATCAGAATAATTTTTACGCCTTCTAAATTGTTTATAGTAGGTTCTTTGTAATTATCAAATATAATAAAAACTGCAGTAGGAAGTAAAGATGGTATCTGATTTTCTTCAAACAAAATATCTTGAATAATTTCTATTAAACCGTTAACTAGACCTGCTTCTGTTTACAAGTTAGCTGTTAATATAATACATGCACCTTTAGCTAATAACAATTCTGTATCAAGACTATTCACCATATCTAAATCAGCATTTTTAGTCTCAGTACCACCTCTTTGATATACTGCAAGTATTTTTGCAACAGAAATATTTAAAAACTTAAGCATATTTGTATTTATTAAATTAATTTTAGTCCAATTTGTAAGAACAAATATAGCATTTGAGAATTGATCATGCACTACTCTATTAATATTATCTTCAAATTATATACTAAGTGATTTCTAGTTAGCAATAGTAGATTTTCTATCGCGTAATCGTATGAGAATATCTCTAAATTTCTGTTGTTCTTTAGAATCTTCATATTGATGCTAGATAATATTAAGCTTATATACTTTCCAAAATTGTTTATATACTATTATACTATTATTAGATAGTGTATTTCATACAATATTAGTAGTATATATTAGATTATCAAAGATGAAAAAAGTTGACAAAAATCACTAAATATTATAATTGATCTCTACTAAAAGGTTCATTCTTATGCTCAAGAAATGCTTGTCATATTCAAATATCAATCAATGCAAGCATTTGATGATCTACTATACTTTTTTTATTAATAATAATATATTTAACATTTTTTAATCTATCTTGTAGCTGATTTAGTTATTTGCCACTTATGTCAAAATGAATACCAATAGGTATTGGAATAGAAAATATTGAGTGAATTGTTGACCTATTAATATTGAAACTACAATACTGGTTAGAACTGGAGATTTGGATTCAATTCCTGCTATTTCATGAAGTCTACTTCTGATTGCCTTAATAAGATAGGATTTTCTAGTACTCGCAATCTCCATGATGATAATTCTTAGTGGCTTCTCTTGACTACTTGTAAGTATATTGTAATAATGAGATTCTAATTGCTTAAAGACTATCTTTTATTTTTTATTTAAAGTTTGGTAGTCGATAATATTGGTAGCTGAATCTTTATTTTTTCAGTTTCAATGCTATCTTAACTATAACTAGATACTTTTTAAACAAAGAAGCTTGTTTCTGCGAGGTCAGTAGTAGAATAATATTGTCTAGCATCACCAATCCAGTCATGATTTCTATTAATGTCTCTAGATTCAAGGTCAGAAGAACAATCAATAGTTGAATAGAAATCTATCTCTGCAAGAAGTATTCAGTCAAATCAGCATTCATCTTGTTTTTTTTTATCAAATTGATCTTCTTGACTTTTATCATCTGTAATCTCATTTTCTTTATCTACAGGTGGTCCAAGTAAATCTATTGGGTTAGCATTAATTTTATCATGCATATCGGCTGATTTGATTTTTTGGGCCTTTTTTTGATAAACTGTTATACGAAAATTTGCTTCTAAGTGATGTTAAAAAAGAAACAAATGAAGTACTTATTATAACTAACAA